TGTTTACATGAAAACTTCTTCCCCCATCTCAGCTGGCTGGGCCAAAAAATGTAAGCAATTAAACAAAAGAAAATCAAAAACATTTTTCGCTGGATAGCGTTGGGAGAGGGAGTTTCAGTGTAACCCTTTGCTTCTCTCTAAATTGAATAATAAAAAAATTAGTTTGTCTTCTTAAAAGTTGCATCAAAATAGATTGTTTTACTGGTTTAAACCAGCTGTCTTCTGCTTTACCTTTGGTTCTCTGGAGATGTACCATTTTGTTGTGTTGACTCATTTATTTGTTGCTTAACACTGTTACATATTACAGGAATTTTTTGAGCCCTTCGAAGTCCTTCAGAGCTAATACCTGCACTGGACTGTTGTCTTTATTTTACTATTAATCGTGGTGATCTTTAGGCTAAGGAATGGACTATGTCAGGAATTCCCGATGGCTACCTTGCAAAGTTTATTTATAACCAGGTTGAACACTAGTATGGGCTCCGAAAGAGGTGAGCGTGGTTGCTTAACTGTTTAGTTTTTGTTTTAACACTATTCATCCTTGCTGAGTTGAACTTCATTTTGCACGTATTACTGACACACATAGCTTTTTGTATGATTTTTAAATTCTGTAGAATCCTTTGGAATAGGGAAAATCTTAGGAGGCATCATTTAAAGGCATTAATAATTCCCTTATCCTGAGCCTCCTTCCTGAATTTACACTCTGTTTACTAATTTTAATCCTCGCTTCATTAAGCCCGCTTCTAAAAGTGCAGAGCTCTGCATGAGATCCAAACTTAGCGTTACACCTGTGTGCATTTCTGTTACTCACATTTCATCCAGATGCTTCCTTCATGCTAGGAAAATACAAAGGAATCTTTTGTTGGGAGACTTTGTCGTCTCCATATGCGCTAATAAAGGTTTTGAGAGGTTTGGAAAATATAATGCAGTTTTTGGGCTTTAAGATTCGTGAATCTGAATTGCATTAGCAAACTTCCTAGTCATACTTAAGTTTAAGTTTCTTTTCATAACTGCTGATACTAGTAGTCCACAAGAGTAATTCCCACTGTTTAGTTGGAGTGGGTTTTTAAGATTAATTTAGGACAAAGGTGAGTATGGGGAGAGAGAAATTACAGTAATACTTATTTTACTGCCTTTTTTTCATGGATTTAGCACAATTTCCACTGAGATACAAACTATTTACAAAACAGTTGCTAAATAAATCTCCCAGTGAGACACGTATGAAACTCTATAGCGCTAATGTTTCCATTCACATCAATGAGATGTGTGGTGTGCTGGCCATCTGTTATATAAACCTGAATAGGATCTGAAATCCTTACACCAAAGACCTGATTTTTTTATGCCATCGCTTTTATGGAGGTGTGCCATAAAAATGGCCATGTGCTGGCAACCTGTGCAACTGGACCCCTTTAATTCTGGGTAAAAGCGATGACATTTCAAGCACCTCAGCATCTCTTAAAATTAAAACAGCTAATTGCATTAAAGTCTGTGTGTTGAAGAGATTATACTCTTGCTTAGAGTTTGTTTTTCCCCCCTTCCCATCTGCAATATCCCTGATGGGGTCCACAGCTGTGAGAGCAACCGTGAGCACGACAGACTGCCTCGCCGTTGGCAAGCCAGCTGGAAGGAACACCGAGACCCACAAGGATTGCCGGACCCGGAGGGCTTTCAGCTTGTGAGAACAACGAGCTAATTAAAGTCTAAATAAACAGCATGTCCTTCTAGCTGAAGTAAAGATAAATAAATAAACGCCTGTGTGTTGTTCCAGAGGACTGAATAAAGATGAAAATATTTGTGTCGTGTTTACCTAGTAACGTCTCTTTCATTTTGAAAGGGGGTCCGTCAGCAGACTTGGTGCATGTATGCAAGCGTACAGTTCCTGATTTCTTTTTAATCCGTCATTTTAATAGGAGGGGTTCAGCAAAGGTAATCAACAGGATGTGTTTTCTTCAGATTTTTCAATTTGTTGAAAAATGTTCAAGTGTTAAAAATCTCAGCGTGTATTTTTAGCAAATGTCGCTGTTCCTTGTCCCTGGCAAGCCCTGCGGCTGCTTGCACACGGGTGCTCCACAGGCAGATCGCACTGAAGGGGCTGTGTGCTTGGTTCGCAGACCTGTGGTACAGTAGGCGCTACTAAAGCATCCCTTTAGGTCTTCTTCAGTGACGACTATCGTCTTAGCCTTCCCATCCTTATGTAGTCTCAGTAAGAAAAGGGCACTTAAAGAATTTATCCCATATTGATGTTTTATTTCCTTTAAATTTTCTATGGGCCAATCTTCTTTCAGTTTGTTTACCTAAACCTAGACTAAATATGTATTTAGGGAGCTACACCTAAGACAGCTATTTAGGAATGAATTTAATTTCAGTCATGTGTAGGATATTAAGACTTTTTGTATTTAAAGTGAAGCACTTGCCGAAGCGCTTTGCTGAAATGGGCCCTCAAAGGAGTCTAATTTTGGAAGGACTGAGCAGTTGCAGTTCTCAGCAAAACCTCATCTTGAGGGTCCTTGAGAAATTAGGTTCCCAAACAGAAATGTGAGTCTCTCTGGGCACCCAGTCTGAGAAGATGTGGCCACCGAGTTAGGTCTCGATTTTCACAGCTCCCATTCTCCCAAATGAAAACAATGGGTGCGAGACGCTGTAAAAAGCCCAGCAGACAGCTAAGGAGAGCTGCAACGATGTGTAGTCGGCGGTCTTGACCTGACATCTGCTGAAAAGTGTAATCTCACTATTTAAAACGCAAAAAACTGAATAAGGTAGTTGTTTGATAATCTGTTGAAAAGCTAGCACCAACCTTTTGTGTTGTACCCTTTAAATGTTGTAAAGGTGCATTCCTGATTGTGTACATAACAAATACTAAACATATTTGAATTGTAATTCCTTTAAGAAAATACTGTGGAGGGGGAAAAGAAGTAAGAAATTGGATGCCTGGTCTAGGAAAACAAACAGACACAGCAGAATGAGTAGAGAAAACATGTTTTTCTGCTTATTTTACAAGCAGGAGTGTAAAGGAAACAATTCTCTCATTACATGTGTATAAAAATAGGCTTTGAGAGGGACTTCTCCAGGCATGAGAACTCCTAGCATTTTCCCATTACCTTGGTCCACATCTGCTCATTTGTTCCAAAATGAACCAGAGGTAAGTTTTTACTGAGACGTCCTGCAGAATTTAGCACAGGAATAGCACATGCATAAACATGTCCTAATCATGAAACAAGGGCAGCAATATCTTAGCGAACTGCATAAAATCAGTCACTGCTCACTTCTGTTGTCAAGAGGCAGCAAAAGTAGTCCAAAAACTGATTAATGTAATTTTTAATTCTGGTCAAAGCTCAGAAGAAATGCTTGGATGGATGAAAAGAATGAGCTGGGGTTGATTAAAAGAAAAAAAAAAGAGCAAAGAACGTGCAAGGGATGTGCAAACTCTCAGGATTATTTAGTGAAGAATAGGCCAAGTTCAGGCTTTGTCTAAATCATCTGACCTTAATCTATTGTGGGAGAAATTAAAAGTTAGTCTGTTCAAATGAACTCAGCATACTGGCCAGCTTTTAACTCTGCTGACAGCCTTCTCCCTGGCTCCGTGCTCTGCAGAAATCCCAACTGCGGCACCGTTCAAGATGCGTGCTCCAGCCCTCGGCTCTGCTCTGTGGTGGCAGAGGAGAGAGATCATCCCAAAGAAGCTGTATTACATTTGTAAAGTGGATTGGCACCCTGACTGTGGGCATCTAGATACCTTGCAAACACAGAAAAGGAGCTGATAGTGTTAGTTACGTGCAGTACAGCCTGCAATTTATGTAATATATAGATTGAAGGAGGTAATCAAATACTGCAGCACTTTGTAACCTTTCGGCATGCAAACTGTGTGAACCCGAGAAGGTTTTCGTTTTGGAAATCCTCTGAACACTTCTCAGTTATGTTGCAACGCAAGGACCTGAGGAAATGCTCAGTTTTGCTGTAAGTTTAAAGGGCCACTGTTACATTTGTAGCTTCTGGTTTCCTTTGAAGATGGGAGAACCCTGAAGATATGTTTGTATAATCATTACGCAGCACGGGATAAATGTTTTGGGTGAAATCCAGTCCATCTCGTATGTCTGTGTAGTTTCATCCCTCTAGATGCATGATGCAGCAGTCTTCCTAACATACATGCCTAGAGTCTATACATAACTGATAGACGTTAGTAGGTGCTTTGGACGGCTGCCCTAGTGGGATCCTGGCTGCTAGACTTTCAGCATCCAAGCTGCGTGGCTACAAGTCTCCTTCTAGAGACTGTAGATAACGTCCTCGCCCCATTGACTGTATAGGCAAATGTAGACACTTGCTGCACAAATACTTAAAACCGAGGTACAGACTCATGCCTCAAGCGAGCTATACCCAATCAGATGCTCTTCCAAAAAAGCAAATGTTATTCACCCTGACATTTTATTTTCTCCATACATTACCATAATGATTTCTCCCTTCTAGAACACAAACTGGGGAGGATTTCACCAGAGGGAGGTTTGCAAAAGTGAGGAATTCTGCCCGTAACAAAGCCAACTTCAGTCAAAACAGACGTTCGTGCTTCTAGTGCCTGCTGGGTTAATGGTGGTCGCTGAGAAAACAGTCTCCTGCCTGCAGAGGGCATACAGCTCCTCTGTTTTCCCTGCCAAAATGTGCATGGAATAGGGAGAAATGAATGGGTCATACATTACTGCACATTGCTGCGCATGATGCATCAGGGATATCTCCATGTACGTGGGGTACCAAAAGTGTAATTTCAGTGGAAAAATTGGACTCTTCCCAAGCATCCACATATCCCTCCACCAAGGTAAATTGATAGTTTACATAGGGAACACTGAAGCCTCTCCAGGATGTGCGTCCAGCAGGCATGTGCTG